GCTAAGCAATTGCAGATGCCTCTTTGGTCTGCAGATTCGAGTATTTGACTCCGAAAAGGCGACTCGATCCTCAAGATTTGAGCGTGGCAGCCCCTGGCCGTTGCTTACCCCGTTGGATCCACGCCATTTGCTCTCCCGATCGGATCGTTACCATCGTTCAGGAAGCGCTCCTACTCAGTAAGCAGCAAGGACAAGCACACTCTCCTCGCATTGTGTGGGAGCCCATTCCGGACTCAGCTAGACCAGAGAACCTCGACGGATTGCTCGAGGCTGCTGGTATGGTTGACGTGCTGAGGTAAGCGCTGCGTTCTGAATAGGATCTCAGGAGAGTACTTGCTAATTGGCATCTTCACGCTTCGTGACGCGATGAACGCAAGCCCAAATCACGTCGAGGCTCACAACTTTCTCGACACATCGAGGCAACAAAGCACACCGGGCTACATTGCGGATCTCGATGAGCCTTCTTTGACTCCTGGCGAATTCAAGTTGCAAGTAGAGAAAGATGCGCATGATTTGTTGCGACTCTGTGCAGCATTTGGCAGTCATGCCCCTCTGCTGGTCATTCGGGCTGGGAAACACGGGAGTGTGGCCCTGAATCAAGGCTGTGTAGAGAGTGTGTGGTGTGCCCCATACCACGGCGAGGACAAGCAGCACGAAGTGGTGGATGTGACTGGTGCTGGTGAGAATGGCCACGATTGCCAATCTGTGCCCCGCGCGCAACCCACTCATCCTTGCCACTTCTGCTTCACAACAATCTCAGGAAATGCCTTTCTGGGTGGTTTGACTTGGTCATTGGCTCAAATTGACGAGCCAAACTTGGACCTCGGTGAGCTCGATAAGATGGCGCTAGGCCAGGCGCTGAAACACGGCGCGGTATCAGCTTGTGAGTCGTTGTCTTTGCGATTCGACATCCTGTCCTGAGGTCTCGTCATGACACTGTTTGCCTCCGCATACTTGCGCTGTAGCATATGTGGTGGAGCAGCGCGGCATGCCGCGAGTCACGCCCGCCCAACAACCGGAAGAGGGCTCAGTGTTGAAGTGGAATCACCATCTCACAAATCCTTCGGAGCGTTATGCAGCAATGCAGTAGTTTTCTCTGTCCAAGAGCTGCCTCCCACCTCGATCGGTTGTCATCTGTCCCGCATCTTTACGTGACATTGAATCTGAAATCACGACAGCAACACCACACCATGCGATCAACCTTGCTGCCCACACTAGTTCGCTCCCGGTCCTTCTTCAACGGAGAGCTGGGCCAATCCGTCCGCCACAGCGTCGCCTTCGGTGCTCTGGCCGAGGGCTTGCAGCCTGTCGGCAGGCACCGGCAGCTGCGTGCCGTCGGCCTCTGGACCAGTACCACCTTCTGACACAGGGACTAGATGGGCGGTCTTCGGGTTCCTCGGATTGACTGGTCGAGGAGAAACATTCGTGTCAGGATATTTGCAAACGATGATGCATACAGCACGCCTCCCTCTACTCACTCTTCTTTTCCTTCTTCTTTTTGGTGATTTCTGGCTCTTTGGGGTATGCTAGCGCTTCGGCCTTTTGGAAGTCCACATTGTCTCGGAATTCCGCTTGGATGGGCTCCAGTAGCTCGACCAGAGCATCCGACACTCCCTTCTTGAGATCGCTTGGGTGAAGGTCCTTCTTGACGAAGGACTCTTCGAGTTCGGCATAGTTGCTGTAGTGTTTGATGCCTCCGTACTTCTCATCCCTGATGACGCTGAAGACGGTTCCCTCTGGAGCGTCGGCAGGTATGCACTTTGGCCTTGAGAGACCACTCTCGGACCTTAATCTGGCAATGGGCAGAAGGACAGCCTTGGCGAATGCGAGGACACCATTCTCTTCAACCTCGCCTTCCAGACAATATGCGTCCTTGATCTTCTTTTTGACCACCGCAGGCTCGTCCAGAAGATCAATCTTGGAGCTCGGATCAGATGATGACATCTTTGATCCTTTGAGGCCCGGCACCATCGTGTTCATTAGGTGAGCCCGCTTAGCGTAGCCAAGCTTAGGCAAGACAGCCTCTGCGAACATGAAGATTTTGCGCTGGGTAGATGGATGACGGTGTCAGATTGCCTGATGCGCTGCGTCCAACATTGCGCGTTACTGACCTGATCGATACCACCAAATTGAAAGTCTACACCGAGGTACTGCTCGTCCAGAGCTTGCAAACCAGGGTAGAGCAGACCAGACAAAAGAGGAGAAGTGACCTGCTTCACAACTTCAGCGCCCGCTTTTTTCGCATCATGTTCGGTAGTGGAAGCTGCCAGCCTGTACGCGTCCATGTTGTACTCTGCAGTGAGCTGATAGCTGGAGCCTACGACGAAGACAAGTCTTTCCACGGGCACGCCGATAGCCTTAAACACGGCGATCAGGACGTGCCTGTAGTACTCCACACGATGACGCACAAGCTCGATAGGAGCCTTGAGATTGTCCAAGAATGCGTGCATATCTAGGCAGGGAGGCATCAGATCGGGGGATGGGCATCGAGCTCAGCCAGCGGCCCTCTGAAGTTCATGTGATGTGAGCGACGAACTGCGCACACTACTCACCGGCCAGAAGCACCTTGACTTCGACGCCTGCCCTCAAAAAGTCCGCAATCTTACTCAGAGGCACGAGATAGCCCACATGAGGTCTGCCAGTGGGCGCAGAGCCCCAGTAAGCCTTGAGTGGTCTCTCCTTTTTTTCCAGAACGCCCTTGATTATGTCCGCGCCGATCACCTCTCCCAGATCCCGCGTGATGAGCTCGTAAGCTTCCTGCGGAGCTACACTTGGCACCGCCATCCTTGGAAACTTGTGCGTCGGCAACAGAGACAGAGAACTCGACGATCAGAGTCGTATCTGTATGCGAAACAGCCTGCGTCCTCTCGCTTAGTCGAGAGCCGATCGGTGATCTCAGGTCGAGGCGCTCGGCGATGGCACCACCTGGCGATAGGAGAAGTGCTGCGGATACTGATTGCAGAGGTAGACTGAGTTGATGGAGCGAGGTCAAGCAGCGCTAGGCTGAGACGGATAGATCCCTGCGTGACTGATGGAGGTTGGATCCAGTTTCAATCAGGAATGTCGAAGCTACATCAGTTGCTGTCACGCGTAACAAGCGAAGCAATAAGTCACATCTGCCAATCAGTTGCTTCCCGAAGTCAGCCAGAATAAGTGACTCGATCGTAACCCACGACTCCGCTTGCGCCCACCTCGCACGTGACGCGACACCAACACACCGCCCGCACGCGCCGGAAGCACATCTTTCGTGTGTGCAGCGATCGTCAAGGTTATCCCTGTCCTGGCCACACAGCGTCCAATCCACAGTCAGGAAAGCTCAAGCGGACACAGCCATGCTTGACTCAAGGCATGCTGCGTGGTGCTTGGGACTGAAGGCAGTCAAGCAGCAGGGCTATGATCGCGTCATCTTCATTGTCCACATCGGCTTCAACCATCCGCATCGCTCTGCTCAGCCAGACTCTTTCCCAGCTTGCTCATCTCCTCTACACATATCCGCACGTTTTTGACAGCTGTTTGGTGCGAATCCGGGCAAGCTTTCGATGCGAGTGCTGCCGACTTTGCATGTTCTAGCAAAGCATCGACACCGCTCTCATGTACGAGCTGCAGGGCGATCTTGACGTAAATGTTGACCGCACCTGAAAGTGTTGTCGCTTGCTCCTTGTCACTGTCTTCGCCCTCGGTGCCGCTAGCCTCGCCGTCTTCTATTGCTTCCTCTTCAGCTTCCTGTTCATCTTCTTCCTCTAAATCGAGCACATTGCCCAGCTCTTGCTCGCCATACAACAGTGCAGCCACCAGATCGTCCTGCGCTTCCAACATTCGCTCCCCGAGGACGTGGAGCTCATCATAATCGAGAACACTTTGATCCTGCTGCCTCGAGAAGGTAGATTTGAGTAGACGACCCAGCGTTCCATGCAGGAAGCGCCCCAGCTTGATGAGAGGAACGAAGCGGGCGGCTTTTGCTGCTTCGTCATCGTCCAGCTTCATGTTCTGCAGCGCGGCGAATGGATCCGACTCATCCAGTTCCAGATCGACAGCATTCGTCCTGCTGGAACTTGTGGTGTGACCGCGGCCTGGCTGCCGGATTGACGCGCTTTCTCGATCTCGTTCAGGCTGTGCATCGTCCACACCTGCCCCTTCCCTCAGCTCGTTCCACCCATCCTCCATTACCTCCTCCCTCTCCTTCCATTTCTTCAGTACTACTTCCTTGTTAAATGTTGGCAGCTCCTTCGTCGCTTGGTCGCATGCAGCCCACACTTTTGCGGTTGCTTCCAGCGCCTTCTTTCGACCCTCCATCGCATTGAGTGGCAGTGACTGAGTAGCAATTGGTCCGTTTCGCACACCGTCGGCTCGTGCCCGGGCAGCTGCGGCTTGGTGGACGACTTTTAGGGTGTTGGCATCCATCAACGAAGTGCAGAGGCCCGCTACATTCTCCATCACGTCTCTCACGTGATGCCTAATCGCCTTTGTGAGATTGAGTCCCAGTCCGAGACCTGGCACCTTTGCTGGCGGTGTAGCTTCGGATGGATCCACGATTCTGCCCCCAATGGCAGTCACTTCCTTCTCCAATCGTGTCCTTTCATCCTTCTCTGCTTGCGAGAGCTCTCTAGGTGCGGCACGCACAAAGATCTGAGCTTCACCCGCTGCTTTGCGTGCCAAGAAGGCGAGTTTGGGCAACACCTCCGACGAGAACGCGTCGAGCTGAGCAGAAGCTGCCGTCAGGCTTGCAGCATCAAGTCCTCCAATGGGACTGACGCTAGACCCGCTCGAAGCGGATGCTGCGGCTAGGGCATTCCTACTAGGCTTGAGTGCAAGAGTCAAGTTCGTCGCGGTTTTTTGTGCCAGATTGAATAGCTGCACCAGATCGTTGTGCAGTTGCTCGGATAGCTTTACGAAGCTCTCCGACGATGGCAACTTCGAGCCTGACGGCAATGTAGCTGGAGGTGTCGCTTCGTCGATCGTAGAGAGCGCGGTGGCCAAGAGGATGGCCAGCCGAAAGAGCTTGGACTGAAGCTCTGGATTCGTATAGAGGTCGTCGAAAAGCGATCAGTTAGTCAGCACAATTTGTCCGACAAGTCGGAAGCCCCGATCGCGAGCGTCTTGCTTACCTTGCTCCGTTACCTCGGAAGGTGCAGCGTGCGTAGTGGACGCCGCACTGTTCGCAGTGGATTTTCCCTCGAGAGTCATGATGGTCCTTCGCCCTTCCCCTTTGAGTCACTAGTGCTGGCGTGAGACCAAAACAGACATGCGCGTATGGTTGCGAATGCACGTACAGGTTACTCTGTGAACCTCAAGGTGCTTTGTGAATCGCGTACTGTGGTAGTCTGGAGACTGGATGCGGCCACGATCCATCGCGGCTCAGAAAAGGACACAGCCACGATGAGTTCTCGTCGTGTGTCACGTGGACGTGAGTGCATATCTGCTCTGCGCAGACCCCGCGCGCGCGGTCATCGTGCGCCCCGAGAAGAGGCGCGCTGGCTGGTCTTGCTGGTCTGCGCGCTATGGATCGCCACGTGGACCCGCAGCTGCACCAGGATCTAGAAGGATGAAACTGCAGCTTTTGGCGTTCCCGTTCGATGCTCCCAACCAAATTACCCATCACTATTGTCCAACAAGCCACTCCATATTCTCACAACTCGTCAAAATGGAGAACGAAAAGGTAAGCACACACAGCTCATACCGTAGCTACGCGCGCCTGATCGGCCTTCGAAGGCGCCAGCGCAGAGATGGAGAGGAAGGGGAAAGGGTCGCGCCAGGCTTGGTGATGCGCACAAACGCGGATCCTTGTGTGCTATGTCGCAAGACATTGGGATGGTCAGAGCAGAAAGCGAAGAGGCAGAGGCCTGCAAAGATGGAGGCTCACATTGAATTTGCAGGCACGCTCATCCATTATTCAAGATACCTTGCTGACGCGCTGTCGCGCGCTTTCTCCACTTCACAGGGAGATCTCGTCGATCTTTACGTGCCACGCAAGTGCGCCGCCACTGGCAGGCTCATCGAGGCCAAGGATCACGCCTCTGTTCAAATCGCAGTAGGAGATGTTGACGAGAACGGTCGTCTCATTCCCGGAAGCTTTACCAACTTTCCCCTCTCTGGCTACGTTCGCCGCTCCGGAGAGAGCGATGACTCTTTGAACCGCCTGGCTACTCAGGAAGGACGTGAGTGTCACAGCAGTGGTGATTCCATGATGAGCAGAGTCGGGGAGGATTGTGGTGGCGAAATATGGTTAGAGCGCCACTTCGACGCTCTGGGCGAGGACCTGTGATCAGAGAATGATTTGCTCTCGACGCAAAGCTGCACTCGATGATGCGGGTCGCTGGTGAAGAGGGCTCAACAGTCACAGTACTCGTGACTGGTACTCCCAAAGATAGAAAACGCTCCCAGACAGTCTGTGCCCCAGCTGCGATCCACAGCGGGCACAGGATTCCGATCAATCTTTTGATCACTCGCAAAGTGGAGCGAAGAAGGATGTTTGGACCAGAAAAAGAGCTCGTCGGCTCCATCTGCTCGTATACCGACACGCTCTTGGCTGTTGCTGCTGCCTTTCTGGCGCGCTTTGGCCGGGCGTGCCGGCAGCGGGTTGCAATGAGCTGCACGAGCGTCAGTCTGGTTTCACATGTATGCGCTCGCAAGGACCATTCCAGTCGACAAGGGCGTCCAGGCACACGCATCGCCGCGTCTAATGCTGTTGCAATGCAGGCCACTGACACAGTATGCTGCACTTCTCTTCTGCACGAAGTCCTGCGCAACGTCTACAGCTACCAAAAGTAGAGGAGCTTTGGAGGCAACACTTTCCAATATACTGGGGTCACAGGCGCACATCATTCTCACTCCTGCTGTACAACGACATGACGCTATGCATCATAGCTTTGCGATTCACTCAAGCCGTGTGCTTCTGACACCAGAACACGCATTCTCAAAATCGATTCGGTGTTCTTGCTCATTGCAGATTTGAGATGAGATCGAGCACATGATCAGAATTCCAGAGACAGGAACAGGGCGTATCCAAGCTATGAACTAGACTCAAGCATTCATTCGTCGTGCGTGAGGACGCTCGATTTTCAGGCCATCACTGTTGCACCTTGATCAACAACTTGCCGGTGGTTGCGCGACTGGTGATATCCTTCTGTGTCTGCTGAACGCCCTCGGCAGAGAACGGGTACTCCTTGTGGACCCTGAGCTTGACCAGTTTCTTGGCGAGCAGGTCGAACAATTGAGCTGAGTAGGTCTCCAGCTCTTGTCTGGTAAGGATGGAGTTGTTGAGCGTAGGTCGAACGACTTTGGTGTTCTTTGCTGCCAATTTGAGGACAGGAAAGGGAGGTACTGCGCCTGATGCGTTGCCAAAGGATACGATGGTTCCCTTCCTCGCTATCATCTTGAAACCATCCTCCCAAGTATCCTTGCCCACACCATCGTAGATGCCTTGCACACCCTCACCCTTGGTCAGCTTCAGCACTTCATCCACAACAGCTGCACCGCCCGATTTGGAATTGATGACGTGCGACGCTCCGTTGGACTTGGCGAGAGCCGCTTTTTCCTCCGTCGACACTGTTCCGATCACTGTGGCGCCGAGGTAAGATGCCATCTTCGCGCGTGTGGAGCAGCGAGTCTCAATGAGATGGGACATGGATGGCAACATTTGCGCCGGGTTGGACTCACTTGGCACAACAGAAGACCTACGCCTCCTGCAGCGGCATGAATCAGGACCGCATCGCCTTTCTTGACTTGGTACGCTTCGTGCAGCAGCGTCCAAGCTGAAAGAAGTGTGAAATCAGGTGCGAGCGTAGCAGAGGGAGTCAGTCTCGAGTGCAAAGCGTACTGATGCATCGTATTGTTGAACAGTGTGCAAGACTGTTTCATCCCTGCTCACCGGTCAATCCCTGCAGTATCGCAGTAGCACCGTCCTTCTCTGACACACCATCAGGCAGCTTGACCACCTTTTCCCTCTTGACAGTCATGTACTCGGCATAAGCACCGAGCGCATAAGCAGCCACAGCATCTCCCACTTTCAAGCTCGAATCATCCGCATCCTTTCCGAATTTGACCACTTTGCCAGCAGCTTCCATTCCAGCAGTGAAAGGCAAAGGAAGCGTGTATAGACCGGAACGTTGGTACGTGTCGATGTAGTTCACGCCTGCCCAGGATACCTTGATTAGAACTTCGTCGGCTCCTGGTTCGGGCACCGCAATATCTTGCGCGCTGATCACATCGATCTCGCCAGTCTCGGGCACGCGGATAGCCCGCATACGCTCGGGGATGTTACTAGAGGCCATGGTGGACCTATTGTTGGACAGATCGCGACGGATACCTGGCAATGTGAATGCTGATGCCGCGTTCGGCAGTCTTGGAAACGATGCAAGAGGCACAGCCTGCGAGCCTTTGAATATATGCGTACGCGTGGCTAGAATGTGTGATCTCAGACAGCTCAGAGCGGATCTTGAAAGCGACATGAGAAAGTTGCGAGCGTTTCACGGTCACCGCCCATTCGAAGTCGTGGATGTGGTTGGAGATGTCGATGCGTTCGAACAAAACACGAAGCAGAACGCAGACCGATGAGGTGGCAGTCAGGCGTCGGGCGACTCGCACTTCTGCGCCGCCGGCTGCCTCGGATTTATCACGCGGTATCTCCGACACAAACGCTGTGCTGTATCGATAGCTAGACCGCTCATTCACGATTGAATCTGGGAAGCAAATCAGATGTTCATGCACATCGCATACTTCTGTCGACTTAGTGCCGCATCATTCATTGCTGTTGCGTGCTCGAGAGTATCACGGTAGCGAGCGTGTCTAAGATGATAGGAGTCCAATGCGATGCTAGTGCTACAAGGTGTGTCGCTATATGATATGCCGTGTTGTGCTCATGGAAGAAAGCTGCCGACGATGCAGGTGGAGCTGTGGAGGTGGGATGGCATTGACTGCTGGTGCTGTTGAATCGAAGAAGTGGTTGTGCGGCAGATTGAATGGAAGATGTGCCTTGGGTGTGTCATGTGGCAAGCATCAGTCGGATGCTGGCAGAGCGTGCGCGCGTGCTGCAGATCCTCTGGACGACGAGGATCGACGTGGTGGTGGAGTGAGACCGGGCGGACCCGGCACCCTATGAGCTGCCGAGGGGCTACTTGGCACAGACCAATCATTGGCGCGAGTGAAGAGGAGCCACTGCAAGGAGCCAGAGGCAAATGTCAGCACACACGATGCGTTTCGAGGACTTCCTAACCTCAGTGCAACGACTCACTTCACAGATGCCTCTGCTCTGGGTACCAAATTCTGGTATCGAGGAGAGCTCTCTGATTCTAGCCATCGCCGCTTTGAGAGTAATGTGTTCAATGGCGTTGCAGCACGTTTCGAATGTCAACGAGGTCGGCGGAGCAGAGGCGGGGACCTTGCCAGGCAGAGAGACCTGTCGGGACATGATGGCGGGCGCCAGCGACAGAGGCGCAAAGGCGTGGGTGGGAGAGGTGACGCGCGAGGATGGCAAGCTCTGAGAGGAAGAGAGGGTCTGAAAGCTGGCTCTGGGAGACCAGCGGGCCATGACACTCTTCCGCAGGGCTTGAGGACTCTCGTTGATCCAGTGACTGGGTGGTGCACCGTCCACCCGACGAGCGGCAGTCACATTTGTAGGCGAGGATAGGTTGCTCAACTGAAGAGAAAGAATCGGAAGCGATGAAGATGTAGACATGGACTCTAGCCGCTGAGGAGTACGAGGCGCCACGTCGTCGGTGCCAAGACCACACTGCGGGACTGGCTGAGCTTTGGGCTCTTGGGAGACTTGACAACAGCCCGCGAGACGCGAAGCTTGTTCCAGCGCAGCCCCAGCGGTCGCGAGCAATGTGCAGCTCGCCTCGAGCTCGAAGCGAGAGGGTATGCCCAAGTGGACCGTCTGGAATAGCGTTCGGTCGAGCCATGCCTGAAAGGTTTCGAAGTCTAGCACTCGACGTTGATACAGCTAAGGAGTGTGAAGCAACACTCTATCAGCTCTCGCGCCGCGCTGCAAGGTCCTGCGGACGCCTGTCACTCACCTCTCCAACAAAGCGCATCACGTGCATGCTGCAGAAACGATCTTTGCTGGAGCCGACGATGGCGCGAGTGAGCTCCCTTCTTCGCAGCTCATCAGCCGTGATTTCGCCCTTGGTAGCCATTTCCAAATCATTGAGCTCAGCATTCGCCGAGTGCAGTGTTGCGTCGCTTAGGGTGCTTCCACTGGCATCCTGCTCGCCTTCTATGGAGCTTCCTTCCGCCGTTGAAGCGGCTGCTGCTGCGGCTGCTGCAGCGGCCGCGGCGGCAACCTGCTTTCTAGTCTTACGCCGAGGGTTGGAAGGAACGCTGAGCATGCAAGCTTTTTCGCGGACCGCTACCCCGCGTTCAAGAACCGCCTCGATCGTCGTCTGTACCGTGGTCATCAACGCCTGGCCAGGATGCAGATACGCAATGCTGATCGGAGAGGGGCGTGGGCTGCTCTCGAGCATCGCGTGTCCCCAAAGTCCCAAGCTATTACCTTCTGTAGATCGGCACCCGGCATCGGGATGAACAGAGGGAGGTGCAAAGCAATCCGACAAAAGCACTGGGCTCGGGGCTAGGCCGAAAGGTGCGAGAATGTCTGACGACGGATCTGTTCCAGGCGCTGCATCCGTCTCCTCGGCCTCCACGTCTGTGGCTGGATGAGGGGCGACCATATCCACGCGAAGCAAGCTGATCATTAGAGCTAGACCAGCGGCCAAGTCTCTGGGTGCTCGAGTACTGTAGAGCGGCAATGGAAGTTTGTACGCGGTCTAGATTCAGCGCATAGTCCTCGGCACGCGGCTCGATCAGAACTCACTCGTTGAGCATTGCAAAGATGCCGGACACAAAGTGCTCCATCACGCGGTTGCACGCAGCATCGTACCATGCCACGGCCACTTCGGCAGGCACCCACTCCTTTCGATCACCGCAGTCGATCCACCTGATGCGCATCAGGCTCGGCATGAGACAAATGCTTGGCAGACGCATGTGGGGCATTGTGTTGGACAAGTCCATTCCTACGGCGTCTAGCATCCAAATTCGGGCTCGTCGCACTATTTGCTCCACATCCGCTCCCTCTCTGTATTGGAAAAAGGCAGACAGCCGCTCATCGATGCGTGATGCGAAGGCGGAGAACGCGGTCTCATCTTGCAGGTGCCGAGTCTGCCGGGCTTCTGCTGAGAGTTCCAATTGAAGCTTCGGATGCACATCGGCCGCCGGCGAAGAAGTCGAACGCGGCTCGCTGATTGACGGTACCAGTTCTCCTGGGCTACTTTCCAACAACTTTGAAGAGCTCCCTGGCTCGGCGTGCGTGTGGGACGCTTGCGCCCCTAGATCAAGCGCAGTCTTGAACCAGGGAGAAGAGTTGTGATCATCTTCGTGTGAGTGTAACGTGGCTTTGCCAAGAGGTGAGCACAGCTGCGAAGGAGAGTGAATCGTCAAAGCCGCGGGAGGCGTGATGACGATGCTAGGGACCGAGCTAGTGCTAGAGAGCGGCGAGTCAGTCAGGCTGGGGAGCTCTGAAAATGTTGCAAGGCGATGAAGAGATCAGTCTTTGTGAAGCGCGGCAACAAGAGGGTTTGAACTCACGATGAAGTTTGTAGGCAGGGGTGGTGCCTGCGATAGCAAGCCCGAGACCGGATGGACGAAAGTTGTTCAGTAGGGTAGACAGTGGGGGTGTGCGGGGACTGTTCTGACCGCCACGGCTTTCTCCATCAGCCTTTGAAAGGCTAGGAAAGCCGGATCCAACCCTTCTTCGAAATGTACCGGATGGGCTACGGCGTCTTGGACCGCGAGGGGCATCGAAAGGTGGCGTGCCTTGAGCAGCACCCAGTGACTGTCGCTTCGTTGCCAGCTCAGACGGATCATCTTCGAAAGCGGGGCCCAAGCCTAAGCTGACACACTCGCTGACTGCTCGTTGACGGCGGGCAGGTGGCGATTTACTTTTCACCTGAGGCTTCAAGTCTTCGATTCCACCCGAGAACTCTGGGCTTTCTGGCTTACGTTTGGGGGGAGAGTCTGGTAGCAATGCAGAGTCGAGTGCCGGGAGACTCGCATTCCATAGGCGGATATTCCAAGGGAATCTTGTCCTGTCGCTCTCTGGCGATTCGGGTGCAGAAGGGTTCGGAATCACCGCTCCCGAAGCGATTGGCACGTGCTTCACGTGAGGTCCGTTGCGCTCAGGGCTTAGCGGTGCACCCAATTGGCCGGCGCTGCTGGCGTTGAGCGATGCTGGACGAAGGCGTGGGGAGCGTGGAGAACAGAGATTGGCGAGGCGAGACATATCGGCCGATGTCGCCAGAGCAGCCAAAGCTTGCACACTCGTCTCCTGACCGGGGCTCGATCGGCATCTCGACATTGCGCTGGACAGGGCCGTGCGGGAGTGCGGAGTGCTACGCGTCCTGGTCGCTGCCTCTGTTCGAGGGTACGGATTGTCGGCCGAAGGTGGAGTAACAAAGGTGTGGGGCACCGAAGTCGTCCTCTTTGGTGGCGTCTTTGGGGAGTGTCTATAGGTCGGAGCGTTCCGGTGCTGATTGCGGTCGTCGATGGACTCGGGTCTACGACGAGTGACAGGAGAGGAAGGGCGGGCAGGCAAGCCAAACCCTTCGCGCGAAGGCATCCTTGAGCGATGCCCACGGCTTTCCGGGCCGAAACTCGCCTGGGAAGGTTGGAATGTACTTGGTGGCTGTTGTAATCCGTGAGCTTTGCTCTCATAACGAGCTGCCATGGTGCGCTACGCTTCACCTAGCAAGGCGGAGAGGGTCTGGAAGGAGGTTGAAGAAGGTAGAGAGGTGTGCGCGCAAATGTCTACCCACTACGAATGGCGTGCATGATCCCCCTCAGAGGAGATGATGTGGAGCGTGTTGGGTAATGCTTCCAAAGAGACGGGCAAGAGTGTATGAAGGACGAGACGATCGTGAAGGAGTGTCCGTCGCTGAGGGGAGAAAGACAAGTGCTCAAAGCCGGGTCGTACAAAGACGTGCTTGTCGACCTGTCAAGACTTGAGATGAGTTTGTAGAGGAGCAAACGTAGACCACCTCGCTTCAAGCTCCGCCTTGACTCTTGCCTCCTTGTGCATTCAATTCGTGACTCAGACTGAAGCGGACTCAGTCCAAATGTCGATCCCAGTCCTGATTTGCCCGTAGCAACAAATACGAGTAGGAGCGCATCCGAAGGTAAATTGTCATGGCACCGGAGGTAGCGTCAGCTTCCGAAAGCGGCACAAAGAACCGGCGCGCGCACCTTCGGGATCGAGAGAGCTTCTGAGTTAGGGTCGACGGAAATGGTGAGCAACCAGTTGCTGCATGCCTCACAGCTGTGAGCTGCCGGCCCGCTGTGCTGGTCGAGCGCGACACCTTGCCATGCACATCTCAACGGCACCAGACCAGACCTTACATGGCGATTGGCGATGCGGCCATTCTCGTTGCTTTTCTTGAAGTTGTGTGCATCGACCACCTGCCTGCTAGTCTGAGCCACATTAAC